AAAGATAAATTGGATATGTAAATCATAACCAATAGGTATGAACTTGGTAACCTTCTTGTATGGATAACTTGCTTGCTTAGCAGAATATATGGTATTACGTTCCTGTTAAGGCTATTTAGCAAGTAATAACATTTTTATGTGATGGATTTGTTCTCTATAGAAGAGATAGACACTGATCCTTAAGTATTATTTTATGCTATATCTTATGAATCTGAAGTTCCATTTCTTTCCTTTGACTGAAGCTCTTATTTAGAGCTTCGTATACAGTGGTGCTTAAATGTTTGTGAAGTCTTTTGAATTTTCAGTGTTTCTGCATAAAGATGACTCAAAACGTGATCTGTTCTCCACACAAATCCTAAACTAGATAAAGAGAACCCAATTAAACAAGTGAGATAAAAACATTGTACTTGTTCATTTAATTATTGAAAAAAATGACCCAAAGCTACATATTTGTGTGCGGCAAAAGTATGTGATCCTTTGCTTTCAGTAACTGGTGTGCCCCTCTTGGGCAGCAATAACTGGAACTAAATGTTTTTGATAACTGTTGATCAGTGCTGCACATTGACTGGGAGGAATTTTAGTCCATTCCTCCTTACAGACCAGCTTTAACTCAGGGATGTTGGTGGCCTTCCTTGCATGAACTGCTGTTTCAGGTCTTTCCACGACATTTCTATAGGACTTGACCATTCCAAAAAATTAACTTTCTTCTACTTTAACCATTCTTTGATTGTATGACTTGTGTGTTATGGGTTGTTGTCTTGCTGCATGACCTCCTTTCTCTTGAGCTTCAGTTCACAGACAGATATCCTGACGTTTTCATGTAGAATTTGCTGGTATAATTCAGAATTCATAGTTCCTCATCCCGAGGCAGCAAAGCAAGCCCAGACCACTTAGGACTTGTGTGGAGAACAGATCATGTTTTAGCTCACATTTATGCAGAAATATTGAAAATTCAAAAGATTCACAAACTTTTAAGCACCACTATAAATATACAGGGAGCCTCATACAGAAAATGTTAACCATATCAAATTTTAATTCAGCTTGGGAATTGTATCATTTCTACCAGGTTGTTTTTCCCACTCAGCAACTTTTTAAGTATTTTACTTAATTGTTCTTCCTTTTTTCTCTGGTAATTGTACTTCATCCTTGACGCAAAATCACAGAGACCCAATGAATTAAGCATCTATACCTGTACAGACTAATCTTTAAACATTTCAGTGATTATGTAGCTGGAACTCCTTCAAACTCCTTTGCTCCTTTTCCTGTAAGTGTGTGGAACTCCTTTTCAGAACCAAGTTGTGAGGTTTCTGTCAGTCTTTAGCCATCTTATGAGTAAGTGCTGGTACTGGAGTCTCTGGGATAAAGAAAGTATTTTAAAGTTTCTAAGCCATAGAAGTATTTGGCCTTAATTGAAATTATGCAATAGTACATACTCAGCTTGAATCTTATAAATTTTATTTTAAGTTTCTAATTCAGTTCCTTAAATAATTGCAATATTTACGTTTTACTAATATGTTGAATTTTTTAAACATCTGCAAAACTGAATGTATTTTTATTATTACAGATTTTGGACTAATCACGATGAACGATTTTTATATATGTTGATGGAATATGTACCTGGAGGTGAACTTTTTAGCTATCTACGCAATATGGGACGCTTTAATAACAGCACAGGACTGTTTTACTCTGCAGAAATAATTTGTGCAATAGAATACCTCCATTCAAAAGAAATTGTTTACAGAGACTTAAAACCAGAAAATATTTTATTAGACAAAGAGGGGCATATCAAACTCACGGACTTTGGCTTTGCTAAAAAGCTTGTTGATAGGTAAGTTACTTCATGTTGAATTTGACTTTTTTGCAGGGAAAAATGGGGAAAATGGGTATAGAAGCTGAAATTTTTCATTAAACTAATAATATCAGGCATAAAGTGATTAATACTCTTTGTTTTAACCTTCTTAACTGATGTGTATAACACACATTGATTAATTTATTAGGTACTATCAAATCAGTGTCATCTGTTAGCAAGCACAGAGATAGATTTTCTCCAGGAGGATCTGTCCCTAACCTGATCCTTCAGGTATTCTAATGGTGCACCCATTACACTCTAACTGAGTTTATCTACCTTGCTGCTTGTCATCCTCTTCTTCTCTTTCCTGTAACAGACATAATTAAAAATATTCAAGCAATATTTTTTCCAAGTGCAAATGCAGAAGGGAGGGAGGGAGGGAGAGAGGGAGGGCAGGCTAGCTCGCTCTACTAGCATAAAAATATGATAAACTGAATTATATCAGGCTTTTAAATGTATTTAAAGGACCCTGAAGATTGTAAAACATGCATGCTTTTATCTTGTAACAGAACAGTGCAAAGTAATCCAAACCACCCTGAAGACAGTCCATTCCATAATAAGGTCATCACTCAGTTACTTGATTTAGAAATGTTTGAATATAAATTTTGAGGAATTTGAAGGTAGCGTGTTTGAAAACTTAAAAAACTTAAAAATTACTTACCTTAGGTACTCGAAGAAAAGTACTTGAGTTATTTTTAATTTATGTTAAAGCTAATTTGTGTGGGCATCTTCATCACTTGCTATTATAACTGATGAGCTGAAATCTGATTCACAATTTCTTGAATGGTTTCTTCCCCTGCTTTTCAGCTTTATTCTCAGGGTGCTTGAGAATTTACTTCAAATTTATCTTGTGTTTGAACCTCGCTTTTTTTGGACCTGCTTTTAATTTAGCTTAATTGGATACAATCAGACAAGTATCATTTACAAGAAAGAATTGAAATATTTATTCAAATACTGAAAATGCTCACATCCACCCCCCTCCCCGAGAATGCTTTGTTAGGTGATCTAATTCCATAGTTCAGAGTACTTGAACAAAGTTCCATTGTGAAAAAGGGGCTAATGCTAACTAAATTTTGTACATACAGAAAACTTGAATGTAACTATGCATTTTACATTTCATGCTGGTGAAGCAGTTTTAGAAATAAAGCTATGGATCACATGGTGTACAAATTTGTTTAGAGAGCAAAATATTATGGTTTGCAAAATTGCTATTTTCAGTAGTTATAAGTTCTAACTAGATAAAGAGCTGTGTAGGCATTTATTTCCTTCCTCAGGACGATGGTGTTTAGGAAACAATATATTTATTTATAAATTTATTTATATTTCAAATTTGGTCACCACCCATCTCACTATAACTTTTTGTATACTCTTACATTGCAATAAACAATATAATTTGCTATCCTACTCATGTGAAGATTCTATGGCTGAAGCTTAAAAAGAGCAATGGATAAACAGTTTAAATAAAAGCATAATAAATTAGCTGAGGCAGATTATCATAATTAAGTCTGTAGTCCAATTTCGATTGTATTGTTTCTTTTTTATTGACATTTATTTTTATTTTTTCTTTCTTTTCTCCAATAAATATTTTTCCTATACAGTAAGTTGCTTAGCTTTGTAGGGAACCTTGTTCTAAAACATTGTTTCTCAAACTTGGCAACTTGGAGGTGTGCTGGCTGGGAAATTTGTGGAGTTGAGGTCCACACATCTTAAAGTTGCCAAGTTTGAGAAACACTGCTTTAAAGGCACACAATATAATTAAATATTATTGAATTCAAAATCATTATTCCATCTGATATGTTAGCTAGAAAGGGTATTTCATGTTTACTAAAAAAAAAGGCCTTTTATGAAAGAATACTATGATAAAGTATTGGGGAAACAGGTCAAGGTCTACATTTTGTTACAGGTTCTCAACTTACGACCATTCATTTAGTGAGTTAAATATTTTTCAGTCATATTACCTTCAGTGATAAGACTATCTGACACAACTTCCCCTCTGTCTTTAACATTCCCTAGCAACATGCAGCTACATGAAAGCTGGCTATGTACTGTAGAACTAACTCCAGGATTCTCTGTAGTATGCAGGACTGCTTCAGCATACCAAATTATATGGAAAGGTCGAAAATGTTAAGATGATTCCTAAGTTTGTGCTAGTCAACCAAGATACACAGTTGCAATTCTCTGTATATTGTGTGAATCACAGTGGGATCTACTATATAGCAATGATCTCAGAAACATGAAGAATGGGAGTTTATGGCTCTTACTATCCCAACTTTTGACTTTCTATCAGTCATATAATAAATTGTGAAATTCACTTCTAGTCACTGAGTAGGTTGTGAACCTATATTTAGCAGAATAGAATAGACTGTTAATGTATTTTCCAACTAAAAATGGAAAAGAACATTGATAAAAATTATACTGGTCTTAAATACAGGGATACATTTACCAAAATAATGTTAATAAGTTTTTTTACATCCAATTTTGTGTTTGTTTTATATGACCAAGATTACATTCCATGTGTATTAACAGCATTCCATGGAATCATTTATCCGTAGCAAAACTGGAGATTTGTTGTAATTCAGATTAATATGAAATCCATGTTATATCACTGTGTGACAAGAGAACTAACAAATAACTTCTGACCTCTATCCTTTATTATGGGGTCAAGGCCTCTGAATTATCTTCCTATGCATTCTTCCACTGTGATAATGACTGTTCTACAAAGGTTACCTGAAGTATTCATTCTCTCTGCATAGTTATTGCAGATTTCTGTGATTTTCCTGAAGAGCTGAAGAGAATGAAGTGGGAAGCTGGATGACTACAGAGCAGTTGGTGCTTGATTCATGCTGATGACATCCTGTAGCATCCATCTGTGTTTGTTTTTAAAGGATATGAATAAACAGTGTTCGAAGAAGAAGGTTTTCATTTCTATTATTAAGTTTAGGGAATGCTATCCAGCAGATCTCCTCCAGGTTATGAATGGCTTGACAAACCTGGTCTCTCTCTTTCTGCAGGGTGAATCATCATCTACCCACTGTGGTGTTTTCTAGTTGCTTTGCATACTACAGTTTTAATTATATGCATATTTTCTTTGATGTACACCCTATTGAAAAGAAAGACTGTCTTCTAAATGACCAAGCCTAAGATTGTTCTGTGGATTATTTACACGTGACTTATGACTGTTGGTTGAAACATCACTGAAAGCCAAGATAACATATAAACGGCTCATAACATATTAAAAAAATGTGAATTTTTCTTCACAGTTGTCTTCACCTTTCATTTCCTCATATGGCCACCTGCATGAGGAAGATTGTTTTTCTTTTTCTGTGAGCTGTTAAGAAGAAGGGGGATAGAATTACAAAATGCAGAGGGAACAGCATGGGAAGTAAACATGTAGTATAGTGGTTAAGGTGTTGGATGAGAATTGGAGAGACCCAGATGCAAATCCACCATCAGCCATGGAAACTCTCTGGGTGAATTTGGGTCATTCCCGCAGCCAAATCCATCTCAAAGTGTTGTGGTGGGGATAAAATGGTGAATGCTGTTTTGAGCTCCTGGAGGAAAGTTGGAACATAAATCTAATAAAATAAAGATTATTGAGAAATATCCAAACTAGAATATGCATGATAAATATGAATTAGCAGCAAATTGTAGTTCTTAGTCCCATATGGATCCTCTGAAGATATAGAAAAGGAAATAAAGAGGTAGAATTGATTTATCCATTCTGTAACTTCTTAATTGCCAATCTCATGAGGCTAGAAATGTCCACCATAATCTCCCAATATATCAATATTGTATCCATCCTAATATTTTCTAATAAATCATAATCAAAACAACATTGCTTGTGTACCATAGATTGACTAGTCCAAGGCGAACATAACTATATAGTTGCAGTTCTTCCCAATTTCTTGTTGGGAGAGAAGACCATAGATGCCATAGAATTCCATGTGCATAAGATGTGAAAAAGTACAAATAAGCTACTGGAGGTAATTCTGCCTTCAGTGATAGGAAATGCTACTTTAGGAACACAGTATACCAAATCAGAATTTACAGGGTAATGCCTTGCATTTGGGGGACATCTGCTCTGTAGACTGCTGTCTCTCTTTAATGGGGCAAACCACAATTAAAATACTGTAGGAATTAATGGACTGCACCAGGCTCAATTTAAAACAGGTCATAATTCAGAACAACTAAAAAGATGCCCTTTAAAAAAAAAGAAGAAAGAAATCTGTTCCTAACTGAACTACTCTCAAAAACTGGTGAGGACAATATGAAGGCAGATGCCTGTTGCCTGGCATCTTGCAAAACCTAAGCCAAAAAATGTTTCCATTTTTGTTGACGGAACCCAACTTTCTTTTGTTATTTCAATGATTGCTCTTCTCTTGGACAGGTGTCATTTGTCCTTCATTATAACAGAAAAAAAAATACCAGGTGGAATGAATAAGTTGAATAACAGAAAAGAAAGTATAAGAATCAATTGCTACTGATAACATACGGCTGCACTGATAGTTAAAGTCTATCCAGAAGATATATTTGTGTTTATTTGAAGTCTGCTATAATCTGGGATAAACTATTGTAGCTAAGCATGGAATAGTGAATAATCAGTATCCCCCTTCCCCAATAGACTCTTAAAACTTTCTCAATAATATTTAGTGTATGGGTGATTGATTTTTTAAAACACTTGATTATTTATTAAATGTATATGATTATTCTTAAATGTATACTTTTGTAATATGGCATTTTTTGTGTAGGAAATATAGATGTGTTTCATATCCATAAAGGTTTGTTTTTGTTTTATAAGGAGAGCTCCCACTATATTTTAGGAAAGTATCTTGCCAAGTATGTGCTGAACTATTTTACTTTACTGCTAGTTAAGTATTTACAATGGGATAGGTAGTGTAAATAGTTTGCATATGGCAGCTGTAGGCAAAGGGCCAGGCCTTGAAGTTGGTGTATTTAAATATAGCAAGCATAAGAGTCTGAATGAAACAAACTATTCTGGGCATGGATATTTTTGCTTCCAAGATATTATGGTTAACAACTGATTGTGCATATTTTTCTTTAGAAGGATGAAGTTAAAGCCAAAATGTTAGAGGGCACTAAAGTATAGTATTTTGGATATAAGAACAAAGTATACATTTTAAGCTTTTAATTTATGGGTTCTGTTTGACAAAAAGAAAAAGAAATCCCTTTAAATTTTGAATTAAAATGCATTGCAGTGCTGCAAGAAGGTATGAAGGTAACTACTTGGATAGTTAGACCATATGTTTCATTAATAATGTGAGATGTAAATTGGGATATTTGGTTCAAAATGATTATTTGATAGTAGCAGGAAAAATGCATATCCTGCTCCTTGAACGTTTTTGACCAATCAATTTGCAGGCAGAGCTTCCTGATATCTTATAGCATGCTTAACGTGTTAAATATTATAGCACAAAAAGTGGCAGTGGGTTCCATGTTTGCTCACTATTTTTGTTGGGGGCTGGAATGAGACAGTATAATGTAGGGAGGTTTAACTTTTTCTGAAACCTTGACTATATTTAGCTTTTAAATTACAGCCCGAAGACAGAACTCCAAAAAGCAGAGAGTAGGTTCAGGACAAAATTAAATTTTGTTTTATTTCATTTACATTTATATTTATGTTTAATAAAAATTAAGAGTAGTTTATGATTACTCTTTAAACACATTCAAAGCTACATATTTGAGAGATCCAGAGGAAGGGGAGTCAAGTCATCACTTCTTTATGCTGCTGGAATTGAATCATTATTCTTTGGAGTAGCACAGTTGAGTTGTTTTGATTAGGAATGTGTATGCCTTATTTTTCTAGGATCTTTGCATAAAGTCACTATACTTATTATAGTGGAGATAATGCAAGAAATCTAGCAAAGATATAATGTAACAAGCCCATGAAAGAAGTTTGGCTTTATCATTATATATTGGATCAGCTGTTAATGGCTGCTACAAAAGTGAAACTTCAGCTGAAGTCTAACAATTGAATAAGGGGATATCTGTCACCTGATGATGGCTGTCAGTTGAAACATAGTTCACAGCTGACAAAAAGGAGGCTGTGGACCTTGAAAGAATCCTACTTGGAAAAGACATAAGAATAGACTGGTGGTTGAGAAGAGCAGGAAAATTATGTGGCAAGATTGTAGTAAAGCTTCAGCCTTGTGGCAACATGAACACCTGTAGACTTTACTTGAAAGTCTGATTAAAGGGCACCTTAGCAGGAAGTCGGTGGGTTACTTGAGGCAAAGGAAGATTAGTATATATCACTTGTTCCTAGTAGCGAGAGGTTGGCTGGGGGAAGGTTTCAGAATCTAATTTGAGGTACAAGATGTGAAATACATTACTGTATTTCAGATGTGAAGAACAAGAATTAAACATATGGTAGTCCTTGACTTACAACCATTTGTTTAATGACCATTCAAAGTTATGACGGTGCTGAAAAAAGCAACTTTCGACTGGTCCTTCCACTTACAACCGTTGCAGCATCCCCATAGTCACATGATCAAAATTTTGGCACTTGGCAATTGGCATGTATTTAGGATGGTTGATGCATCCCAGGGTTACATGATCACAATTTGTGACCTTCCAGGGGGCTTCCAACAAGCAAAGTCAATGTGGAAAGCCGGATTCACTTAATAACCACAGCAAAAAAGGTAGCAAAATCAGGTGTGACTTATGTAACAACTGCATCGCTTAGCAACAAGAGTTCCAGTCCCAATTGTGGTTGTAAGTCGAGCACTACCTGTATTAAATCTAAGATTTATATACCTAAGCAGTCTCATCCTTTCATTTGAACTTCAATACTATTCTTTATCTAAAGGAACTATAAAAGACTTTTTTAAATAAATCTCATATTGTTCTTTTATCTTGTCTGTTTATCATGGTGATGTCAAGTTCATGCTTAGAACCAAGTTACTAAATTCCTTGAAATAAGTAAGTTGCAATAGTAAAGTCTGACAATATTTGTAATATTACATACAGCAGTGACTTCCATAGACCTAATTTTCCCCAAAAATAAAAAAGGGCAAAAATTATATTGCTTCACAACAACTAATCTGAATGACCACATTGTTTTTAATATGCAGGGTATAACAAAAATCAGGCCTCAGAGCCAGTCACAACATGTTTTATAATTTTTTTTCAAAGAAAATTTAGTGTGCTTAGAGATATTCAAAGGCCATGTGTCAAATGAGTAAGAAAGTGTTCAGAAAAAAATGGCAACCAATTCAAACTTTCAATGTAATTTATATAACAAATTATCTATAGGGCCTGGATTTTGTATTACTTTGTATATTAATACATTTTTGTATTTATACTAATTTATGTTCTCAATTTTAATGTGACATTATTTAGTGTAATATATTTAGTCATCAAGCTAGAAATTCAGTACTCTGGAGACAAAATGTCCAGACTTTCTGGATTTCTAAATACGTTATTTTTATGAAATTTCTGAAATGAAATAAATGGTCAAATTTACATCTGAGTGCTTTGTTGTCGGCCTTGACTTATGTCAAAAAAAAGTAAGCCAGTTTAGACATCATTGACTCTGAAGGTTTGGCTAGTGTGGGAAGTAACAGAAAAATTAAGGTTACGGTAAACTGCTTCTTCACAACATTGATCCATTTGATCATCAATACTTGAAGGAGTCTGTTTTTATTAGTTACTAAGTATTTGTGACTGTTGGATTCTATGTATGGGTGATTACTTATGTCTAGTGCTTCAAAATATAATATTAATTCACCTTCATTTCCTAGCAGTGTGAGGAATAATTCAAAATGCCACTCAAAATGCCATTCAGGAAACTTTAATTTTCATGTTAGGGGAAATCATAATTGCATGCATTTCCATCACCTTTTTACAGGCAATCAAAAGACTACCTGTGTGTGAGCAGCAGCTAGCATATGATGGTAATAATTGCATATCTTTAAAGCTGATTCCAAGGAATAACCTGGCTTCTATGGAAACTGAATCCTAATAAATATGAAATGTATATCTAATTTTATTGTTTTGCTTTATTTTGTTTTTCTTTAGGACATGGACACTGTGTGGGACACCAGAGTATCTTGCCCCAGAAGTCATACAAAGTAAAGGTCATGGAAGAGCAGTAGACTGGTGGGCCCTGGGCATTCTGATATTTGAGATGTTGTCTGGGTAAGGAAATGTGGAATTAAGAAACTGCAAAAACTGAAATGTCCCAAATATTAATTTTATCATTTATATAAAAACAGTTTTGGAGGCACAGAATGAACTTCTTTTGTATAGTATCAAATAGATAAATATGCCAAATTTAACATTTAACATTGTGTGACAAAAAGATGCCTTTTAAATAATATCTTAGTCTCAGGAAAGTGAAAATGGACTTTCAGCCTCCTTTCTGGCAGGGTTTCTCTCTCTCTCTCACTCTGTGATGTGTGGAGTCAAAATGGAATCTGAAGACAATGTACTGAAACCTGAAACTTACTGTATGATTGGGCTAGTCATTATCAGTTTAAGATTAAAAGGAAAGAAGATTTTTATATGCATTTCTTGGGTTTCAAGCAATGGAATATAATGTAATATTATATTACAATATTATATAAACCCCATCTATATGCAATTTAAAAGATATAACCCAAAGTCAGATAAGGAAATAAACCTACAGCACATCCTTTCCAGCAACCAAGATCCAGATAAGCAGAAAATAGCATAAGAGAAATGATAAACAATGCTTTAATTAAGGGAGAAACCACACCCAAATCAAGACTGGCAAGTCAAGCTACTATATATAAACAACTAGCAAACTTCACCCTTCCATGCACTGATGTTACCTAGCCTGGTAATGAAATGACTACAGGAAAACAACTCAGCTCAGAGAACAAAAACAAGCCAACAATATTATACATAAATATAGTAAATGAACAATGTATTTATGATGACAGCCCCCGGTTCCAGGAGGATTTTGTTCATACAGGATGCACAGTATATTGAGATAATCTGATATGTTCCATTTCTGATTTTGGTGGGGCTCATATTTACCAAGGAACAAAGACTTGCTAGCTTATTTTGCCTGTTGGGTTGGGCATGCCACCACTTTTAGCTTCCAGGGGTTTGGGTTAGTTGGTTGGTTGGTTGGTTGGTTGGTTGGTTGGTTGGTTTTTTCTGTGGGTATATATAGGGGAGAAATTAAATGTTACATGATCCCAGCAATACATTTAATCTACTAGGTAGTAGCATTCTCAGAGTAATATGTAGATTATCTCCATGCTTTATTGCAAGCATTATTAGAAGTAATACATACAATAAATGTCCAGGGCCAAAAATCCAAATACTTAGTTTAGATTTGGAACTAAATGTTTTTTCTTGTTACAGTTTCTTGACAATGACATGAATTAGATTACTTGTGAACTATCTTTCAAAACTGTGGAGAATTTTATCTTATCAGTCTCCAGTTAATGGAGTATAACATTATTCTTGTAGAAGAAAGTATCTTTTACAATGCCATCACAAAGCAACAAGCACATAAATCAAGGCATTATTGTAGTCTTGAGCATTACAGTGTTCTGCAGCATT